CCTACGCTAGTCCATTGGTCTTCTCTTGAAAATTGGATTGGATATTGTGACCAATTGAGATATCTTGGTGTAGCCGGTTCTGCTGTCATGATGGTTCGTAGTGCTAGTTTTTCTTGACGTTTGCTTGTGCAATCTGGAGCTCCTGAGAAGATTACTGCTACCGTTCCCCTGGGTTTTTGAAATCCTTTGTCCTCGTGGTTGTCTTCATCTTTCTTGTGATTGTCCTCTTTGGTGTTCTCCTTACTATCTTTTCTCGTGTATCGATCATTGAAAGTGTAGCAGTTTCCGATGGTGTGTCTCCCGTTAGGGTGTAATGGGCAACGTATGTTTTCAATGTCTTCATATCTTACGGGTTTAGAAAACTTCTTTGATTTGTCGGCCATTGCCACGGTATTGTACGGTCTCGCTTTCTTTCTTGATGTCTGTTGCTTCGATGATTTTGCCTATCCGGGTTGTCTTGATTGCTTCTATCAAGGAACCTTTCGTGTTTTTTTCTTCGGTAATCATTTTTTTCATTGTTAAATGCGAATTCTTCATTGTTTCTCGGATTTTCTTTGCGAAATCTTGAAATTGCCACCTAGCCATGATTCCATGAGAGAAAGCTTCAATTACTTCTCGTTCGGTGATGTCATGCACTTGAGCCCATGATTCACGAATCGCCGATAGTAGTAATTCTCGAGACTTTCGCCCCCTTTTGCTTGAGTCCTTCGATTCGGCATGAGTGATCGGGTGTGTGATGATACTGCGAAATTTTTTCACGAGCTCTCTTTGCAAGTCTTCCCAAGTTCGATCGATCACAGGTTCAATTTATCAAACCATTGGAGGGCATCGTTTCCGGTGCCATGGGGAAGAACAAGGTTTTAATATCATCGTCTCCTCCCGGCTAGTTCAATCGATTGTGAATATATTACGAGCCATTGTCTTGGTTCGGTTTTGCCATCATACTTGGAGTGATTAGGCGGTTTGAATTTGTGAGGGTAATCGGCCTGATGCCAACTTTGTTTGCAAAAGCAGGGGAATCATCATGCGTTCCGCTTCCTTGAATTCGGATTCGGCTCCTTCTTCTGGCCAAGTGTTGTTTTGATGGGAATAATTCTGCGAGGCTGTCTGGGTAGGCCCTCTACTCCTGGTCTTCCTTGGTTGTTCAAATTGATGGCCCCGACTATGTTCCCTCCTGCTTTCCCCGTTATGGCTTCCGCCTGGTCCAAGTCTTTCAAAAGCGGACTTCCTTTGATTTTGATCTTCTTGCCTATGGGTTGTTGATCTGGCAGGTATTCTTGATCGGGTTCTCTCTTCATGTGTTCTTGGGATCGTTGACCGGAGCAAGTCCTGGAGCTGTTCGTACTTCTCCCCGTGATGTGAAGTTGCCCCCGAGTTCTTCTAATGCTTCTCGAATCTTATCGTAAGGCGTACTCCTTTGTCGTCTCCCTTGGCCTCTTGTTGTGATTTTCTTTTGTCGTATTCAGCCAATTCTGACTCGTATCTAGTCCAGGCTTCTCTACGCTGTCGAGCGCGGTGCTGGCGCCCTTGTTTCAACTTGTTTTTCCTTTCTCGAGCCTGTCTCTAACTTTCGGTTTCTCCATCGTAGCCCTGAGCAAAGGGTGATATGTTGGATTCTGATTCATCTGATGACCTGACATCGGGTGCTTCTGGGGGGTTTAATGGCGACCGAGGGCGTCGAACCATTAGCACTTCCCGTGCGTGAGCTGTTCCGTTATTGTCGTTAGTTGTCATACTGTCAGAGTTGCTGATGACTTCAGTGTGCGCCTCGACGTCGTAGATTGAGTCTCCCTCTTGGTAAGGTAGAATAGCTGTTGTCGTTGTGCCGACTAGTTGGGTTTCGCTATCCTCAGGAACAGATCCTGGCCAGTGGATGATACAGTCTTGCGATGTTATCGTTAGAACGAGGCCCTCCTGAGCTCCTGTCAGTGGTATCCCAAGTGTTGATTTGAAAGACCTTTCAAACTGTCCCTGATAGGATTTTGTCGTGTTGTCCAGCCCAAATGGAAAAGAACTCGGCCTTTTGAAAAAACTCTGAGGGTAATCCGAGTTGTTTTGGTTTGTATTCTGGAATCTTGCCAAATAAGAACTCGACTTCTTGAAAGCACTCGAATAAGACTTCATCTCGGATACGGAGCTTGAATTCGAGTCGGATGGAATCTTATTCGAATCGGGTATTATGAGCTGCGCGAATCTTCTGATGAGTTGATCCGTCGTAGTTGTCGAAATAGAGGATTCTTCATGATGATCCGGATCTTTGAGGAGATGACTTTGAAGCTTGCCGTAGTTGTCTGCCTCGCAGATCCACGAGCCGAAAATGAAAATCGATCCCGTCAGGAAGATCATGTTATTGAGGTCCATCGAGCTCTCGGATGCAAAGTCGCCGAAGTCCCCTACCTGGCGCGCCAGCTGTCGATGTTTTACCACCGATAGCCTACCACGGGGGTACCGTGGCAGTATCGTTCGGGTCTCGGCGTATGCTGAACTCGATGGTGAACGCAAGAGACAGTCGATTTATCCTGGTTCAGGCCCTCGATCGTAGATCGAGTAACGACCCTACGTCCAGTCGGCGTTTGCCTTTTGCGTTGGATTGATTATGAAGTGTTATGTCGTACCAATTTTCCCCTTCTTTAGGAGCCCTGGCCTCCTTTATATATTTAGGAGGCCGGAGTCCTAATCGGTTTACAATGAGATTTCCTAGTAGGATTACTTAATAGTTCTATTACTAAGATTACATGGGAAGAACCCTAGTTGAACTAGATCTTCTCTCTCTCTTGCGGGGTATCCTGTTGGTCCCGCATCGACAGGAGCACGATTAGCTAAACGTGTGTTGTCGTGTTGCCCACGGGCTCAACAACGAGCCCAAGCACGACACTATGACCACTTAGCTGTGCGTGCCTGTACGAGCACGATAGCCTGTCTAGCCCGCTAGCCTATGCCAGCTCGATGAACATAAAACATGCCCAAAAAATGAGAAGTAAAATAAAAAACATCATGAGACTACTACAAATCCTTTATATGTTGACAAATCAATCAGAAAGTCACAGATTCAAAAATAAATGAGAGAACTTGTCGGATCTTGTTATCTCGCCCGTTGCAAAGTGCTCACTGTCGCTTTTGCCCCGCGCCCCCACGCGGCATACGCCTTGGCCTTGCTCGCCCTAGGAGCATGGAGGAGAGGAAAAAAGATTCAAGGCACGAATAGGCGATGTTGTCGGAGGAGGCGAGCGACCTTAGGCCTCGACGCAGTGGCGGATGGAGTGCGGACTGGGAAGGGGAGCAACCGCCGACCATGGAGGAGTTGAGCGACCATCGGCCGTGGGTGCAATCGACAGAGTGGAGAGGAAAGGAGAGTGTACAGAGTTGGAAGGGAAGAGGTAGATTTGTGGATTGAGTCACATGAGGTACTAGAGCGGGGAGACGTTAGAGGGAGCGAAGGTTCGTAGAGGGCGAACAGAAGAGTAGGGGCAGCAACCAAAAAGTTAGGAATTCAATGTTATTTTATATATATACGTAAGGTTTTCATAGAGTGTACTCTTAACGGATCAGTTATTAAATATGTCATGCTCGTGCCGGCACTACGGGTTGAGTTAGCGGCCGAAGCATATGACACTAACTATTGGACTATGCTGGCACTGCACGAGCACGACTTACATCTGGCCGTGCCTCGTGTCGCCCATTTTTTTTAGGGAACTGGAGGGGCCGAGGCCCCTATAGATTTTTATTAAAATTTAACCAAAGTACAAACTACAAACTAAGGAGCAAACTAGAGCAGGAGGAGGGCTAAAAATAGTACAACACAAGACAAGACAGCTTTAAGAAACAAAGAAGGAAACAAAGAAAATGAGCCTAAGGCTTTGATCAATTACAGGTTTTGGATCCATTGGTCGAAGATTGCTGACAAACTAGCTGTGCTTCTCTGAAGAATTTTTTTTTTGCTTCTCTGAAGATTTTTTTTTTTTTGCAGTCCTGAGTCCCAACTTGGTTATTGTTGAAGATCAATTCATTCCTAGCCCACCAAATTGTCCAGCTCATGAGAATGACAGCCACCATGAAGAACTGACTCTGCATTTGATCTTTGATTGCTATCACATTTTTAAAAGTTCCCCATGCCTGAATTGTGTTCAAGTTTAAAATTCCCCAACATTGCTGAGCAAAAGGACAATGCCAAAATAGATGCTCAACAGTTTTTTCCACCATGAGGGAGCAGATTTCACAGTTATATGAATCAAGGCCATATTTTTCCTTCTAAGGATATTCCTTGTGCTTAGTTATCTTTTAGCTGTAACCAATAAAAGACCTTGTGTTTTGGTTGACAATATGATTTCCATAGCCATTTAAAGGCTGGGTCAATTTCATGATGCCCAAGCATTTTTTCTTTTTGTAAGTTGTTGCAGGTCTGAACTTTGCTGATCCTCCAGAGTATGTCCAAGCATCATTATTCTGTTCTTCTCGTGTTGAATTTTCCATTACTTGTTGGATGCTTAGAACTTGATCAAAGGCCACTTGGGATAAAGGTAGATTGAAGAGATCCATGATATTTTCTTTATCAAAAGCTTTCTTGTCGCCCATTTCGCCATTTGTATGTAGACTGAGGCACTCCCTGGGCCGATGACGACGGCGCATGATGCATGTGCGACGATCCTGCCAAGGTCGACGCTCACGCTCCTCCAATGCGTTTGATTGCTATCGATGGTTGCGGAGTTGGTTTCCTGAAGTCGCGCAGATGGTTCTCCCCTGGCTCCGGCCGGGTGCGCAGATCATTTGGAGATAATATAATCATGTGCGACGTAGCTACCCACAGACCGTACGGCCGGCCGAATTAGTTTTATTTTGTTTTAATTCAAAAATTCAAGCCGGCCGATTGCAGACGGAGACCAAAGGCGACGAAACGACGACCCCTGGTCTGCAGGAACCAACCACCTACAGCCTAGCTAGGTTGATAGATATATCTGTGACCATATACTTGCACAAAGAGCTGTAGTAGCCAGCCACCTGCCATGGCCATGGTTATGGGTTCCAAGAGCCCTCCTCTCCTCCTCAGCCTCGCCTACCTGCTCTGTGTCTGTGTTGCCCATGTCACCTCGCTTAGCTTCGACTACAACTTCTCCATCCCCGGCGTCCTCAACAGCGCTAACATCAAGTACATGTCTGACGCCACTCCTGGCAGCGATCGGATCGACCTGACGAACGACACGATCTGGAGCACCGGCCGTGTGGCGTACGGGCAGCCGTTGCAGCTCTGGGACGACACCGGCAACGTCGCCAGCTTCACCTCCAACTTCACCCTCGCTATCAAGCCGCACAACAGCACCAACCAGGCAACAGCAACTATCCAAAGAACTTCTAATTAAGCTTTCTCGATTTTCGCACCAGCTCTCGTTAGATGTGAGACTTGCTGCGCAGTGCAGGCCGACGGCATGGCGTTCTACGTCGGGCCGTGGCCGCCAAACCTGCCGGGGGACTCCAGAGGCGGCTTCCTCGGTCTCTTCAACAACCCCAACAACACGGCCAACGCCGTCTTCCCGCCGACCGTCGCCGTGGAGTTCGACCCGTTCAGGAACGACTGGGACCCCAACAACACCGTGAACCATCTTGGCGTGGACGTCAAGAGCATCACGTCGCGCGCGTACGTGGCGCTGCCGGACGGGAGCTTCAACGGGACCATGTCGGCGTGGGTCAGATACGAAACCGACATGAGCACGCTGTCAGTGACCCTTCGCTTCGACGATCTGCCGGAGCTGGGCCTCTACAACGTCAGCGCAATCGTCGACTTCAAGGACGCCGGGCTGCCGCCGGACGCGGCGGTCGGGTTCTCGGGAGCCACCGGCGATTTCATCGAACGCCACCAGATTCTTTCTTGGTCGTTCGAGTCCACTCTCACCAGCGTCGCCGTCGTCAACAAGACCGGTAAGTGTCTATCCCTGTCTATAGAAAAAAAAAAGGAAATTTCTTCATCATGACTATCTTTATTTACCGTTTCACATTGGTCAGTAGTTGGATCTTACGTGGTCCACGAACATAATGTACTGCTTTTCTGAAATCAAATAAATAATCTGGGAACAAATTTTATTATCACCAAAATGCACATGCGTTCTATGCAAAATCTCTCGACAAACCTGTATGTTCAGTGAATAATGTGCAATTTTCATAAGCGTCTACAAAACTTTTCGTGGATATGCATCAAATCAAATTTACTATTTTCTCGATTTCAAATTGTAAGACGTTTTATCTACATCCATAGTTTTTGTTATGCACTTATTATTAGATATATTATGTCTAAATATATATAGAAAAACAATGTATCAAAAAAACAAACATCTTATAATTTATTTATAGTATGGAGGGAGTATGTTAGTGTGTCCATCATTTTTTGAGTAAAGTCCGATTTACCCCTTGACTAAATTAAAAGAAAAACTTAATACCAAACAACATATACACCCCGACTTTCAAATCTAGATATAATACTCTACTTGACCATTCCAAAGTGGTTTCTCGATGATTTTATGATGTGGCGGCGGAGCCCACGTGTTAAATGGCCACTCTATGTCTTTTATGTAAAAAAACATAATTTTTTCATATGAAGTCAGTTGAATATAAATTTTATATCAAAATTATAGAGATCAATGCGATCTACAACCTTGTAGTTGATAACCTTTTTATTTGATATCTTTTAGATGATCAAATATCTATTTTAAATTATCATATTTTAAAATTGATTTTTTTTTTATTTTTTGAAACAACCTAGGATGTTGGCACGGTCTATACCAAAACTGTACATCTAATTAATGTGATCTACAATTATGTTGTCGACAACTTCTTTTATCCGATATTGTTTAGAGGCCCAAATATTTGTTTTAAGGTCCTAGATTTTGAAATTCAAAACTTTTGAATTTTTTAATCAACCTTGGACGTTGACATGAATGATATTTGATATACACCAAATTTGTAGCTCTACATGGCATATACGACTTTGTAGTTGACAACATTCTTGTGAGATCATTTAGAGCACCAAATATTTATTTTAATTTCTCAGATTTGAAAATCCATTTTGTTTGAATTTTTCAAATTATCTCGTACATTGACAAGGTATATACTAAAGTTATAGACCTCAATGTCATCTATAACTTTGTCGTTATAAACTTTTTTATTTGTTTAGAGGTCCAAATATTTGTTTAGAGGTACAAAGTTCTTTGATTATAAAATTCAAAATTTTGAATTTTTTAATCGAACCTTGGTGGAGACGCTCTATTCCAAATTAGAAGTTCTTGAAGAGATCTAAAACTTTGTAGTTGAAAATATTTTAATTTGATATCATTTAGGAGCCGAAATGCTCAAACCAAAGAAATGTGGTATCCACATGCTACATTAGCCAAAACCACGCCATGGAAACCACTCTAAACTATTTTAGAGAGGTTTTTATCTGATTTTGAATTATGGAGGTACGTTTTCTGGTCTTCGAGTTGGAGGTGTTTTCTAAATTCAGCGACAATTTCGGGGGCCCAATTGGACTTCGTGGTTATGTGATTACGTTGCTCATCAGTGAATGATATGCAATTTTTTTGTAGGATCTGCAGTTGAGTTTGTGGTTATGTAACTACAGTACTATTTGAACTTTAGGCGTCTAATTTAATGTGCTTGTAAATGACAGAAAACAAAACTACAAAGACGAAAAACATAAGCCTAATAGCCTTACTGGTACCCACCGGGATCGTCGTACTACTGCTTGTCGTTGCGGTGTGCCTCGGCTATCGCAGATACCTAAAAAGACAGAGTGCGAAACAAATACAAGAGGCACCAGAAGGCACAAAGATTCCTCTCGACGAAGACATGAACGATGAGTTTGAGAAGAGGACCGGGCCTCGGAGATTCACCTACAGCCAATTGTCACAGGCGACACACGGATTCTCCGACGACGAGAAGCTCGGTGAGGGCGGTTTCGGATCAGTCTACCGAGGGTACCTGCAGGACCAGGGGCTCCATGTAGCCATCAAGAGGGTCTCCAAGACGTCGAGGCAAGGGAGGAAGGAGTACATCTCCGAGGTGACCATCATAGGCCGTCTCAGGCATCGCAACCTTGTGCAGCTTGTTGGGTGGTGCCACGAGGCCGACGAGCTCCTGCTCGTGTACGAGCTCATGACGAACGGCAGCCTCGACGACCATCTCTACAGCACGAGTGACATTCTAACATGGCCAGTCAGGTATGAACATTATCAGTCAAATGAATTGGTCTAATTCGCAAAAAAAAAAAAGAATTGGTCTGTTCAATTGATGGTATTACTAGTTTTTTAAAACTTCAAGAAGTTTTTTTTTTGGCGTCAGGTACAACATCATTCTTGGCATGGGCTCTGCTCTCCTGTACCTTCACCAGGAGTGGGAGCAGTGCGTGGTGCACCGGGACATCAAGCCGAGCAACGTGATGCTGGACTCGTCGTTCAACGCCAAGCTCGGCGACTTCGGCCTCGCCCGCCTCGTCAACCACAGCCACGCCGCGCACACCACGATGCTCGCCGGCACCAAGGGGTACATAGACCCGGAGTGCGTGGTGACCAGCCGCGCGAGCGCCCAGTCCGATGTCTACAGCTTCGGCGTCGTCCTCCTCGAGATCGCCTGCGGTAGGAAGCCAGTCGTCCCGCAGGAGGACGAGGACAAGGTGTTGCTCGTGCACTGGGTCTGGGACATGTACGGGAGAGGCGAGCTCCTCGACGCCGCGGACGCGCGGCTGCACGACGCCGGCGAGTTCGACGTGCCGGAGATGGAGCGGACGCTGGTCGTGGGGCTGTGGTGCATGCATCCAGACCGCGCGTCCAGGGCTTCCATCCGGCAGGCTATGAACGTGCTGCAGTTTGAGGCTTCTTTGCCAGAGCTCCCGCTAGAGATGCCCGTGGCGACGTACGGACCACCTGTTTCTAGAGGTTACCGGTCGAGCACCACATCTTCATCCGTGAGTGAAAACACTCCTGCAGGCCACTCGTCGACTAGTGATTGGACGGCGCACTCCTCGGGCTCGTCAGTGAAGAGTGGCACCCAAGGGACACGCTCTTTTGTCACTTCCAACACAAGGAATACAGCAAGAGGCAGTGTACGAGATCCCACCTCATCACCCGGTCGTATCTCGGACCGGTCGAGCACTCGTTCAAGCGGTGGACTCTCGGACAGGACACTCTATTCTTCGTAGCTTGTCTGACTTTGTATAGGTCTATATATTGCCCGTCGTCTTATCATGTGCCTTGTTTTTGTGCTTGCAGCTAGCCATCAGTTAAGGTACTCCTCTAGTCTGCAATATAATGTGAGATAAGTTTTTTGGGTTGAACAGACGAGTGCATACAACTCAATATGGTACCACATATAGGTAGGATCTTTTTTTTTAACACCACCCACCCATTGTATGTCCTCTGCTAATCTCAACTCGTCTTCAAACTTTTGGGCTGAATTGATCGGTTAATCCAACTCAATATGGTATCAAAATCATGGTCTTGAGTTTAAATCCTAACATCATAATTAAATAAAATAGTTGCAGTCGACTCATATTTCCACTTTTGAGGCCTGAGGCAGACTCATATTTCCACTTTTGAGGTATGAGGCAGCCTACACGTAAGTGAAAGACTAAGTATAATGGAAAGGTTATCTTTTTCTAACAACTTAAACTTTTGGGCTAAACCGACCGGTGCATACGGCTCAATACAGTGGCAACTAAATTTTGTAGCATCAGTCATTTCGGGAAAATGAGAGGGTCGGGTTTTGGATATGGAGTAAAATTCCATACTGTACTTCTTGATTCCATAGTGCATAGCTCTTGCTGAGATAACTAAAATTCATCTCTGAATCAACCAATTTGAATTTAGATGCAAAAAATTATGACAATGGATATTATTCAGCTCATCAAACCGGAGGATCCTAGCGTTACAATAATTTGACACTTGTTTGTAAGAGTTTTGCCTCCAAACCGGTGTATGTATCCCCATCCTTTAAATATACGAAAATTCTTAGCCACGGGTGTCCGTCTCGTCCGGACTCGCCTCCCACGCCTGTGCAGCCGACTGGCCCCATCTCTCTAAAAAATTCTTCACTCCCACACAACAGCCACCCACAGCTCCACTCCCATTCCGTCGGTGCCCGGGGCAACCAACTCCACTTACTTCCCCCGGGGCCCTCGCCTACCTTCGCAATGTTAGGCTCTGCCACTGGAGTCGCACCTCCCGCCCACCCCCACCCTCACCGCCGGTGCCGACACCGGTGTCCTCCTCATCACCTCCTCCTACTGCTAGAGACGGCAAGGGCATCGTGGCCGTGTCGTACTTCGCGCCCACCTCGAGGCTCCTCACGCCCTAGTGCCCGTGCGAAAGAAGCTCACGACAGCCAAGCCTGTGGTGCTCTTCGCTCCGCCACCTCCCAAGCCCCGATCTGCCTATCAAGGCAGTTATTGAGTTCCTCAACACGCCTGACATGGTGGTCATCGCGCCAGTGTGCACGCCTGACATGTTGCAAGCGTATGTTTCAGAGGTATGTTGCAAGTGTTTCATATGGATGTTGCAAAAGTAAATCATGATGTTGCATTTATGGCAGTGCCTATACACATATGTTGCATTTGTCTGCTCCAAATGTTTCATCTGTTTTTCAAATGTATGTTGTAAGTGTGCTTATTTAGATGTTGTATATGTTGAACATAAATGTTGGAAGTGTTTTATCTAGATGTTGCATATGTTTTGCAATGGCTTTTCAAATGTTTTTCAGGTGTTTTTGTAAGTGTTTCAGATGCATGTTTCAACTGTTTCATCTGTCTTTAGACGTATGTTACAAAGGTTTCATCTAGATGTTTCAAAAGTAGATCGGGTGTTGCACATGTTGCAATGGCGACGTTGGCTAGTAGACGGGGACGCAACGGGACTTGGTGCGGACCTTGACGGAGGAGCAGTTGTCCAGGGATGCGAAGAAGGCAGCGCGGCGGGGGATGGGGCACGGCGTTGCACGGCATTGCAGGAGCCTGCGAAGGGGGCACGGTAGGGACTGCGGAGGGGGCACGGTAGGGGGCGCGCCAAAAATGGCAGCGTGGTGGTGGATGGGAGCACGGAGACGATAGGCCATGGATGGGGACACGGGCGCGACAACTTCTGTTCGTCGAATCAGATTACCCTGTCCTACGTCCGGAAGTGTCCTTTGGGCCGGATCTCCGGGCGCCAGTGTTGCCCCATCGTGGCCATAGGATAGGAATCGTGGTGAGCCATCCCTAGTGGCCCTCCATGCAGCCAGCCACGCTACCTCCACATCCACCTCGCCTCCCTCCATCTCCTGCACACGTTCGTCGGGGCGGATATCTGCCGACACATCGCCGCCGCTGGTGCTGCCTCCAGCGTGCTGCTGGGATGCGTGGCCGGCCCTACACCGAGCCTCCAACCGTCCAAGCAGTAATTAGATGTTGCGCTTGGAACCGAATGTTGCAAGCATATGTTTCGGGTGTTTCAGATGTTTCAGAGGTATGTTGTAAGTGTTTCGTATGGATGTTGCAAAAGTAGATCGGGATGTTTCATATGTTGCAATGGTTGTACATGTATGTTGCAAGCGTTTGTTCCAAATGTTTCATCTGTCTTCAAACGTATGTTGCAAGTGTGTTTATCTAGATGTTCCATATGTTTCACGCATATGTTGCAAGTGTTTTGTCTGGATGTTACATATCTCTTTCAATGGTTTTTTCAAGTGTTTTTAGGTGTTTTTGCAAGTGTTTCAGACACAAGCTTCAAGTGTTTCATTTGTCTTCAGACGTATGTTGCAAATGTTTCATCTGGATGTTTTAAAAAATAGTTCGGGTGTTGCTGCTGGAACCCACCGACCGCAATAGGCGTCCGGTCAGGGGAAGTAGAGGGGTGAGCGGTCTCTGTGTGGGGTCAGGAGGTGCGGGCGACGTTTGGACGGACCTGGGCCTCCATGTGGCAGGTGTCCGGACACGCACGTCTCTACGGACCTCCGGGCGCTAACACTAAGTGACAAATAAAACGAACTTCAATCTTGTTTGCCTTTTTGTATTTCCATCTCATTCCTCTTTCCCTAATTTATTCCAAACCCTATATTCTTACTTTGTCTCCACAACGTTTGAAGGCACTCTAGCTGTTTCGCCGATGTTAGGGCAACACAAGATGCACTTTGCTCTGGTGGGATCCTTTCTTTGGGCAAGCGTTCAATGGTCTGTCTTGATGAAACTGGAGGGTACATGGTTTGCTAAAATGGGAAGGCCTGATTCTCAAAGATGTGCCACGAGAAGCGTCCCCCTACGAGTTGCATTTTTCATGCTCATATGATGATGTGCTTTAGAGCATCTCCAGCAGCAGGAGAAAACTCCAACCCAAAAAACTAGTTATTAGGGGAGATACAAAACATGTTTTAGGATTTTGAAGGTCAGCTCTCTAGCAAAACGAGAAAATCCAATCCCCAATAAGAAAAATAGTGGATTGGGGGAGGAGAGGTCTCCCCTTTATTTGAGGGGTGAGAGGCTATAATTTGAGAGATTGAGAATTTTTTTTTCTCATTGGGGTTGGGCTTGGGGAACTACCGGAGCTACAGGATCTTCAAAATAACAGTTTTTTCTCAATGGGGGTTAGGAAAGGGGGACTGCTGGAGATGCTCTTAGGGTCAATAGATAGATGTGTCATGACCCTAATTACATGATCACCTTAATCTTTCCATTACAAGCATGATTATGCATTATCACCACCATAACTTTGCTCTCAATGCCATGTAGTCATGTTGCCATGAAGCCATTGCCTCTACCCCTTTCTCGTCCTATGCACCTGGTTTACCGAATCGCTCTACGTATTTGGTCCACGTGTGAAAAGGACATGCCCTTTGGTTTGGTTATGAGCATGAAAGTTCGGCTGATGATTTTTGTGGCTGATAAGTCGGCTGATGCTGCTTTGTTGTGAGAGAAAAATACTATAACATAACTGATAATCCAGGCTAATAAGTTCAAGCGAACAGGAAAAACAAGGTTACCTATGGCCGTGCGTAGCTTGCAACCCATGAGTCCACACTGTCCCAGAATGAAGCCTAAACGGAATTAGTAACTTACCATTCCCATTTAAATTGAATTCAATTAAATAAATTGGCCCCTTAATACGTAATGTGAGCCGCACCACGAAAATAATAGAAGATACACTATCTTAGCTCCACGAAACCGTTGCCTGCTGCGTAACTTCCAACCCGTGAGTCCAAGCTGCCCAGAATTATTAAAGCATAAACGAACTTATCATTCCTATCTGAATTCCATCAGATTCCTCGAGCAGCGAGCCAAACAACTCAACCAAGACCAAGATGTCTCCTTGAGAGTTGAGACGGACACACACATCAGCAACCACTAAAGCAGCCGGTAGCAACTAACCTACTACTGACGCTACAACTGAAATTCCAAAAGAGATAAGATTGTCACTCTTGAAACCATCCACACAACTAAGCTAGAACTAAACCAAGGCAGCCTAACACTGTTAGCCCATGGATCTCTTAGAACAGGTGAGCCGACCACTCACCAGCGTTGCCGACCACACACTATGGGTAGAAGTAGCAGAAGGGAGATAAAATCGAGCACACACACAGCATAAGCACCAGCGTTGACCGGAGCTCTGCAGGGGAGATGGTAAAACTGAACTCGCTCTCTTTACTGAGTTGCAGTGGGAAACTATATATACAACTCTACCCATCTAGTCATAGTACACAGACATGTCAGGCTGTCATGCTGCTACAGTAACTAGATGTGACAGCATGACAGACTTTGGCGCCTGCCCCTGCTGTGGCTACAGTGCGACAGGAGAGCCGTTCGACGCCTGCCCCTGCAGCGGCTACAGTGCAGCAGCAGGGAGCCTTTTCGGCGCCTGCTCGCTGCCGCGCGTTCACACAGGGGAGCAGCAGATTACTTAATAATTCTTCTCCTAATCCTGTTGCTAACCCTAAAACCCCCTCCATGCCGATCATCTTCTTCAGCTCCATGAACCGAAGACAGCCGAGTGGCTTGGTGAGGACATTCGCTTGTTGCCGACCAGTTTCGACGAACTCGATGACGATCTACCCTCCATCGATACTATCGTTGAGGAAGTGGAACTTGACGTCGATGTGTTTGCTTCGGTTGTGGAGAGCCGGATTCGTCGCGAGGGCGATGGCGGTCTGGTTGTCCACCATCAGTGCTGGTGGGTGAGC